GGCAGTTTGAAAATGAGCTCGGAGCCAGAATTTCTCGAGTCCAAACGGCATTAGCCCCCTCTTAAGGCAAACAGCGTCATCAGAGGCATGTTTTGAAAAACGCTTCGAATCCTTCTATTTTGCTATAGACAGCACAGGAGATCTATCCTAGGCTTAAGCGCAAATCCTCATCATTTTAGCTCAAGATCTTTTTTTCTCGGTTCTGCTGAATGCCATAAATGAAACGGCCAAGAAGCGGAACTCTTAGCATTGTGAAGCTATGGAGCAACCCTCGTGAAACTACCAGTCCTGCGAAGTATTGCACCAAAATGACTCGATGAATTGGAGCCGAAAAAATCGATAACACAAAGCATTTAAAAAACGGTTACAAAACTTGAAAAAAAACTGCATTTGAATGTGTAGCAACAGTGTGAAACTCCAGAGAGTTTATTTCAAAAAAAGAACTCGAAAGACACCAAAAATCTCGAATTGTTTTTGAATACAATTTAAATTTTATTAAATTCGATTTGATTTAAAATTGATTTAATAAATCCAAAGTTTATGCATATAGATGTGGAAGGGCAGGTTGTAGTTACTGCAATGACTCCAAAATTTGTCAGCTCAGGGGGACAGTTTATCTGGTGGAGTGTCAAGGATGCGGACAAAAATATGTGGGAGAAACTGGGAGGCCCCTATACAAACGGATCGACGAACACCGGAGAGCGCTGGGAAATCCACCTTCTTACCCTAATAGCAGTTCTCCAGGCATCGCAAAAAGGAACACGCTTGCCAGAACCCCTTCATTAAACATCAAAGAACTACTACACCGCTTAGTAGAAAGCAGGAACACTGGCTTATTAGATTAAAGGACATCGTGTACGACCGCTAAGCCAGCTCTATTCCAAATGCATGTGGTGTGTTTAAATGAACAGCAGCAACTGACTTTATCACTCTTACCACAATTATCTTCCATCAGCAACTTCAGTGAGGGCCATTTAAAGGGTTCCACTGCTGAATGCGGTAGTGCATTCCAAAGCAAGACGCTTTAGGAAGACAGATTGCATAAATTATAGGCTGCTTCAGTGGCTGTCCAAACAGGCTGACACTAATTCCGTGTAGGTTTATGAAAATGTTACCAGTAGGATCGCTGCTAAGGCCGGCTTTGCCTCCTGTGATGGCGGGGTTGAGGGCGCTGGATGCTGCTTCTAGCGCGCTTGACGGAACAGCCCCCGGCGCCGCCGCCCCCCCCCCCCCGCTGCGTTTCAGTTCCTGCGTAATGGCAGAAGGTTCCTTTAAACAAGTGTGGTTGGTCAACCGATCACTTTAACGTTAGCACTGCGGCAAATCGCGCATGGCCGCGCATTCGCCGGGCCATATGTAACAGATAAGAGGAGCGCCCTGGCGACAGCCGGCGATCCAACTTGGTTTATTATAAGTGAAAAGCTGGAATATGCGATGTGGGCATCTTCACTGTCATTCGATAAAGGCACTATTTATCCCAAAAAACGTGCTCAGACGACCCGATGATGACTTACTTGATATTAATGGCAAGAGATAATGGAAGTATGCATCGAAAAGAGTACCTTGATGAAGCTGACGATATCATAAGTAGTGTCCAGAATATAACAATGAAATATGGAGAACGTCGTTTGATCTATCGTCAAATGTGCGAACCACATTGTTTTGGGGATGAAATTTTCAAACAATTCAAGGTTTGCGAGTAAATGCACCGCTTGGGGTTGTCGTATGGGCGGAGCCTGGGAATGAAGTCGATGGCGTGCCGCTACACTTCACGCGTCGAATGGCGGTGAAGGGGGACTAGCGCCGCCCACACGACAATTTCAAATGGTGCATTTAAAATTGCCCCAATTCAGTGATCAACCAAAGCACAGTAACCATTTCAGAGAGCTTTCGATATTTCCTATGGGGGAGCCCTGGAATTTGGCATTGATAGTGTCTTTTTTGATTTGTCCTATCCATTCGGACACATCATGACTGATCGAGTTCCATTTGATCGATGCCTCTATGGAGTTCGTTTGAAAGATTCAAATGCTTCACAACAGGTGAGCATCGGAGAATCGTGCTAACCCAGAGCCTCATTTCTAAATCGAATTTGTAGCAGCAAT